CATTTCTATTCCATATGCCATCCGAAAGCAAAACAAAAACAAAAAACGGTATCAGACTTCTGGGAGAGGTCATCCATATGTTTGGGGTCATATATCACTAGTGTGTTGATAATATTCAGGGACAATCTGTCAGATTCAGTTCTCAGAGTTACCAGTATGTGGGTCTAAGTGGGATGAAATAACCTGAAGTTGATCCTAAAAAGATGAAGTTGCTGTTTATCCAGAAGCCATTGGTTTTCTCTCTGCTCTGGTGATTACTCTGGAAGGAATGACACTACCCTTAAAGAAACAAGTCCATGCCTTTGGTATCCTCCTGAATCCAGAGTAATTGATGGGAAGATAGAAGCAGCAGCTTTAGTTGGTGTGCCATTGTGGCCCAACTTGAAGTGAGAAGACTTGGTGACAGTAACTCATGCCCTTATCCTCACCTGTATTTTCTACTTCAGTGCTCTCTTTGGTGATTCCTTTGAAGTTGCAACTGACGTAAAATTAAATAGCCTGTGTACTGACAGGAGAGAAAGCTATTATAATAGAACAGTACCTATATTGGTGCAGCATTGGTTGTTGATAGACATTCAAGTGCAATTTGAACTGTTACTTTTGATCTTTAAATTCTTGTAGACCTATCTTCTATATAGGTACAAATGACCAGTCCAGCCCACTCATCCTAGATGGGAATGTTGCAAGGCCTGGAGAAATATGTTCTGGTGGTGGCCCTTGTTGTATGGGAACAGCCTCTTAGAGATCTAATCATTTTTAATGCATTTTGAAAGGCAGGTAGAATGGACGGTTGTAAAAGCCAATTTTGCCTTAGGTTGGGGCATGCTACTTTGCAGTAGAAATGGTGGCCATAGTTTATATTGTTTTACCGTGTGTTACCCATATTATTTTATCTTTATGGCTGTAAAGCACAATCGATTGAGCCTGGCTGCATATATACATGAGAAATACACACATACAAATAAATAAGTACTGGTTTTCTGTGCTCAACTCCAATAAAATTTAGCTAAATCTGATTTTTATTACGAATTTTTTAAATTATACCCAATCAGATCAACCCAGACTCAAAAGAATTAATACTTGGATCAGGTGGTTCCGTTATATCTGCCTGTAAGAGTTCAGGAGACTTTTTATTTGGCAAAAGAAAGGTATTCTCTAAAAGGGATGTATAAAACTTACAAAGGTATGTGACTGCTTCCTATTCCCTCTATCTATCCCATCCAATATATTTCTGTTGCTATTACTATTACAAGGTTTCCTCTATAGTGTCTCGTTCCTAAGACCATCGGAAATATGTATTTTCCGATGGTCTTAGGTGACCCCTGTGAAAGGGTCATTCGACCCCCAAAAGGGTCGCGACCCACAGGTTGAGAACCGCTGCTCTATACTCAATTCCTCTATGGCAGGGGTAGGCAACGTTGGCTCTTTTATGACTCGCGGACTTCAACTCCCAGAAATCCTGAGCCAGCTATGCTGGCTCAGGAATTCTGGGAGTTGAAGTCCGCGAGTCATAAAAGAGCCAAGGTTGCCTACCCCTGCTCTATGGCTAATGCCTTCTTTCTTTTTACTGCTGCACTTCTTTGTTTCCTGGGGATTGCAAATCTATACCTCTCCCCATCTGCACCAAGGTTGCTGCCTTATTAGCAATTCTGCTGTACTGACTGTGCTGGGAGGAAGACTCAAATGGGAGGGAAAGCAGCAAGCTCTTCCACAATTCCATACGTTAGAAAAACGAACGATTGAAAGAGAGATTTAATTTCTTTTTGACCAATTCAGATGTATTCAGACACTGGAGGATTTATAATTGCCTCCTAAAACTTCTAGGTAGAGAACTATCCCAGCAGAAGTTGTGTCTATGCATGGGTGTATCTGTGTTTGGGATGTATGGACATTCACGTGGACCCAAACCTATGCATTTATGATTGAGTATTCACAGCAACTCTAGATGGAGATAATTATGGAGTGATTTATCAGTCAATAAAAAATGGTTGATTCTGATCTTAATGACTCAGGAGGAAAACGTCAAGGCAGCAGGATGAATAATTGGTTGAGATAAATAGCTGCTTGCATAGCTTTCCTGTAACTTTTCCATCAATCTGTCTACTTGTTTAAAATTAACTATGCATAATGCATTGCCTTATATCGTGACTGGCAACCCCAGTCATAATTCTTATACCTTGATATTATTCTTGAGATCAGAATATGTATGTAATGTCAGTTAATTAAACAAATATTGGGCTCAAAAGATAGCTAGTTGATTTTGAATATCAAGTCATCAGTACAATATGTCAATGGAGAGTTGTGGATGTTCTCTATTTACTTTGGGGGGGGGGGGGATGATGCTAAATCCAGTCCTGAAGGCTCCCTGGATTTTCACCAACTTCAGTGAGACGTTCAGGTTGAATTTAGAAAATCCTCCCCAGGCATCTATTCATTTGTCTGTTTTGAATAGTATGCCTGTAACTATGCCACAGCTATAGCTGTGGTAAGAAAAAAAAAAAGTCTGCTACCAATTTTGGAAATATAGCTGAATGCCTCATTCAATATATTCATCTGCCTTCAATAGATACTCGTTTTCAGTAGAAAAATCCACCCTTTTCTGTCTCATGCAATATATGCTTATTGTTAGACTGTTTGCAGTTGTTTGCTCTTGACAGAATCACTCAATTCGCGCAATTACACTATGCCAGGGGTAGTCAACCTTGGCTCTTTTATGACTCGTGGACTTCAACTCCCAGAATTCCTGAGCCAGCACAGCTGGCTCAGGAATTCTGGGAGTTGAAGTCCACGAGTCATAAAAGAGCCAAGGTTGACTACCCCTGCACTATGCCATAATGTGGTTGGCTTGTTTTTGACTGAGAGTAATATTAGAATAAGATGACCAAATAAATTATTGTTTACTTTAAGATAATACAGGTAGTCCTCAACTTGCGACCATAATTGAGCCCAAAATTTCTTTTGCTAAGTGGGAAAGTTGTTAAGTGAGATTTGCCTCATTTTATGATCTTTCTTGCCACTGTTGTTAAATGAATCTCTGCAGTTGCTAAGTTAGTAACACGGGGTTGTTAAGTGAATCCGGCTTCCCCATTGATTTTGCTTGTCAGAAAGTCGCAAAGGGTGATCACGTGACCCTGCAACTGTCATAAATATAAGCCGGTTGCCAAGTGTCCAAATTTTGCTCACATGACCATGAGAATACTGTGACAGTCATAAGTGTGAAAAAATGGTCATAAATCATAATTTTCATAATTTTCACTTTAACTTCGAACAGTCACTAAATGAGTGGTCTATCTGTAAATCATAATTTGAAACAATGATTTCTTGTTGTCTTACTGATTACGGTATTTAGCATATTGTATATAAGGAGTGGCATGGTTTCCTGGCATAATCCTGATTTGATTTTGTTCCTTTCCTAAATATCTGACCAAAAATGTGGGCAAACAGACCAAGAACTAGTCCAAAAATATATCCTACAGATACTTTTTTAAATTTATAATGTTAACTCTGGCTTTTTTCTGGCTTCTTCAAGAGCTTGTGGTTAAATGACTGCTTTAATCAAAATAGATTGACTGAGGGTGTGCCAACATACTGAATTGTACTAATAATTATGCTTCTGTTTCTGCTGCTTTAGTGTTACTGTTCTCTTACTGTTATTACTTTATCTCTCTCTCTCTGGCACCAAAACCAGTTAATCTTGTTTTTCACCTTCTTTGCATTATTGAAACCACATGTTTTTGTACTGTAGTTGAAGCACACATTGCAAGTCAACTTCACAGTTTGCCCATCATGTATTACTTTTAATTTATTCTCTGAATTCAAATACACCTTTGTCAGGCAGAATAACCAATAATAATATACATATTGTATATTATACATATTGGCATGCATAACTATCATACTATGATTATGTAAAACACAGAAACAAAGTATGAAGCAATAGACAAAGAAATTAAAGGCATGAGACAAGAAAAAGTAAATGAAGTATAGCTAAATCTAATTTATATCAATATTTTATTTTTCTATACTTTTCTAACCTTGCACATCATTCATTATTGTTTCAGCTACATCCATATTCCAATTTGTGCAGAAACTTCAATCCTCCTTTTCTTATTAATTATCTAATCGCTTCCTTTCTCGGTCTTCTTTCCTCTCAAACCATTCCCTTGTCCTTTATAATATATTTGTTTTGATATTCGGTTCTCATTCATTCTCTCTAGATGGCTACACCATTTAATGCAGGGGTCTCCAACCTTGACAACTTTAAGATTTGTGGACTTCAACTCCCAGAAGTCCCCAGCCTCCGATTTAATGCACTTCTTTTGCACTGGTCTCTCTTATTAACACAGCGTGCCTTACACATTTTTCCACGCATACATTAAACAGCCAACGACAGACTTTTTTGTGCCCTGCTGTTGTATACCTTAAAACCTTTCCAATTCAGAGATGTTTCACAGTTATACAGGGCCAAGAGGTTCCATGGCAAATGAATTAAGTAAGAAAATAATTCCTGAAGATAAGGTTTTTGTATTAGGCTCATGTCCGTTCCAACCCTAGGAGTCTATGTGATGGGGATAAAATTGAAACGAAGGAAGGTTGGAAGCAAACATGCATGGGCGCGGCAATGTTTATCTTCCTACAGTCAGTCTACTTTGATCCAATTTCTTTTACTTATTTCTGTTTCTTCCATTTCCCCCTCCAGACTCATTATCTGATGGTTTTCATTAATTCTATCAATCTTTTATCATAAATAATCATATATAAATATATACTATATTCTCGACTTATGACAATTGTGACCAGGATTTCAGCTGCTAAGCAATGCAGTTGTTAAGTGAATTGTTATATAACCGGTCCCATTTTTTTTACCATTTTTGAGTCACATAGTTGTTAGATGAATATAAAGTGCCCAGCTGTAGAATAGGTTATTTGAAGTAGAAAACTGGCCAGGTTTATGTTCCATATATTTGATGTGGCTTATTTCCTGATTATTGTTCTTTCAGCATCAAAGCCATTGAAAGCCCTAACAAAGATGATGATACACAGTGGTTGACCTACTGGGTCGTGTATGGAATCTTCAGCATAGCAGAATTTTTCGCTGACATCTTTCTGTCCTGGTTCCCATTCTACTATATGATGAAGGTTTGTAGTCTTCTGCTCTCCATATACATATACCTCTCTCAAGAAACAAGTATCACAATGTGAAATATAAGCTTGGATGGTGCAATGACTATAGTTAAATGTATCTTAATCTTAGTTTATAAAGTAGCTCTAATTTATACAATGAACTTCAGCTCCAACTGTGATTTAGTTTCCAAACATACCAAGACTTGGTTCTTAAAGGAAGATGTTTCTTAAATCAAAACCTATTGGCTGGAATAGTGATAATAATATCCAAGCAACAATGGGATAACAGCATTTCTTCATACATAAAAGAATAAATTTAGGTATCATAAATTCATGCAAACTTCCATTTGCTTTTAAACATGACTTTTTCAAAAGTTACTATTAATCTGCTTTGTAGTTGCATTTATATCAAACAATATTGGAACAATTTTAAAATTACAAGCAGTCCTGTAAGTGTCCAGACCATGATCACATGACTGCAGAAGGGGATGCAACATTTTGCAATGGTTAGAAATGCTTTTCAGCAGGGGTCCTCAAAACCCAGGCTACGAACCGGTACTGGTCCATTGCCTGTTAGGCACTGGGCCACACAAATGTTGGGCAAGCGAGCAAAGTTTCATCTGCACATGCATGGGATCTAGATTGTGCATAAAACCATCCCCCCCTCATGCCTTGGAAGACAATTTTTCTTCCAAAACCGGCCCCTGGTACCAGAAAAATTGGGGCCACTGCTTTACAGGCCCTTTTCTCTTAAATGAAAGCGATGCCCCAGTATTGGAAAAGGCATGAAATTTTGCATTATTTCTCTCTATCGGTTTTGGAAAACATATTTGCAATTGTCTAGTTGGGGAAACATGCATGAATCTTATTTTGCTACCTTATGTTTAGAAGATTTTATTCTCCTAATTATGTTATGTACATACCTGGAAGAAGCCAGTGCCAAACTACTTTTATACTATTGCCAAGAAATCACATGGCTGTGTCCATCAAGTAACAAGAACTGAAACCTGATTTGAGGCAGAAATTTATTTTAAAATTATTTTTATTAATAGATGTGTCATAGGCAGGGCACATTGATTTTCTAAATTTTTCTTCCCATATTCTAATGCACAAGGAGACGCAAGGACAAATTTCAGGAATTTCTCCTATTGTTTTAGAGGGTACTCTCAGATAGCCTATTCCACCAGCTGTGGAAAATCACTTCATTCCCTAGGATTATAGATTAGAGCAAAAATTAACCACACTAAGTGTTCCTTTATTTATGAACTGGTGGAGATCTTAGAATTTTAGGCTAGATACCCATTTTTTTTAACTCAAAGAAGTAGAGTTTATCTGCAATACATGTAATATCTTTTGCAGAGGTTTGTGGGACCCATACAGTACTTGTATTGCTTATTGTCCAAAATGATTCACATTGTTATAGTCTCTGTGTAAGATATTATTATCTTCATATTGCAGATGAGATGAAGAGGCAGTGCTAAAGCTAATATATTTATCACAGTGAGAAACTCAGGTTAAGAAGCTCCCTAAACTGTAGCATCAGGATTACTGATATTTAAGTACCACCGCTGGTCACTGCATCACAGTCTGTTTCTTATTTGCTCTTTCTGTTTGTACAGTGTGGCTTTCTGGTGTGGTGTATGGCCCGAAGTCCCTCAAATGGAGCAGAGTTCCTTTACCACAGAATTATCCGCCCTGTTTTCTTGAAGCATGAGGCTAAGTTGGATAATGTAATGAAGGAGTTAAAAGAAAAAGCTGGAGAGACAACAGACACCATTACTAAGGAAGGTAAGCTGAGGCCAGCAAGGCCAATTTCAAACAAGTCTGCTTCCTAGATAATTATGCATTTTTAGTGAAGTTAATTAGAAAGAAATTGTACAGCGAGATTTGCTGTGAGGAAGTATGTCTGTTTCTGAACTATGTAAGTGCAGAATTTGTTGCTGTATGTTGAAAAACTCAATGGTCATTTTTTCCAAGATAAATCTCCATACCAGCCCTTTTGAAAGTATTATTTCTCCAGATGTATACGATTTCATCCACATAGGCTGGGCATTCTAAGAAATTATTTCAGAAACTCTAGGTTGGGAAAGACTGCTCTGTTGGCTCTGCAGTAATAGGCTATAGACTATGTAGACAGTAAAATTTCACAACAAAGTGGAATTGTCATGGAGGAAGATTAGGATACTTATCCTATTTATTCCTTTTCCCAAATGGTAGCAGCCCCCCAAAAAACCACTATCCAAGAAATTAAGTAATTAAGTACGCTAATTAAATATGCAAATATATTTATCTTGTGTAATTTATACTGATTACACCATGTTGAGTACTTATAAGTTGTTTAATAATATAGTACAGTACAAAATTCTGTATTAAATGTTGGAATAATTCCATTTTAGTTAAACATGGAGGGTTGATTACTCCATTCCACTCTCTCTTTTCCTTATCTCTACCCCGACTTCTTTATTACTATATGCAAATGTTGATGTTGTCCCATAGAAGTTGAACATAATTTGGTATTTATAATAATTTTGAGTTACCTTGTTATAGTATTGTTAAAAATAATGGATTTCTTTCTGTTTTTTAGTTAAAAAAGCAACAATAAATTTACTGGGCGATGAGAAGAAGACCACCTAAAGAAATTAATTGGAAGAAATTTCTCCTTATCACTACCTTTATACAGTGTGATGTTTCTGGGGACTGTGATACAGTAATTTGAATAATGTTGCCTTGTAAACCTTTTTGATTTTATTAAAAGAATGTATTGTAAGATTGCTTGCTGTTTTTGCAGTTTTCTGTATTGAAAGTAAGCATTTTTATTTAACGTCAATGCAGTAGATGGCATCTAAAGCTTATACAGTTTCTAAGCAGAAAGAAGATTTTCAGTAATGTCTTATTTGCCTTTCATGTAATTTTCAAAAGAAAATATGCCCCAGGCTCTGAATATTACACCGTTTGTGCATGCAGTAGCTGTATGTGCAAATTTCATTTCATATTTGACTAGTTCTTGCTATAGCATAGTTAAATATCAAAGTGTAATGATAGTGATTTGGTGTGCGTAGTTTTGTATATATACAAGGGATGATAATTAGCCATGTGTTGCTTCTGTATCTCTCTTCACACAGACCTTCTCCAATTACTTATAATGTTGGAAGAATAAACTGAGATGACAGTGCTGGAAACTGATTTTGAAGTACAGATTGGTTGTAACTTGTAATATCTGGTTTAGTATATGTATATTGACTTAGGCATTCTCTTTAAACACCAAAAAGTGAACCCTTTGCCAAAAGTTATTTAACATCATCGTATTGGAAAGTCTGGTAGCACTTTTTCTGACTGACACATTTTATTAAAAGGCGTAAGCTCTCTTGAGCTGGGGCTCACCTAATTAGATACAGAGAGCGCATCTCATAAAAGTCTGTGCTTTTAAATAAAATCTACTGTTTTAGAAAAGCTGCTACAAGAAAACTGAATTTATACTAACGCATAGACTGGCTCTCCTACAATATAACCTGAGTTATGTAACCAAACAACTGATTAAAGCAGAGAAAAGACATTTTCCCCATTGACACCCTATTCTGGTTCACTGAACTTCAATCCTGTAATGGGTTTTTATAATGGTGGTGTTTCATGTGAGCAATACCAGATGATGCTTGCTCAGTTTATAAAATAAAAGTTTTAAAGGGATTCTGTTGTGTTCTTTGATGTGTTTTAGTTTATTTGGCCCTTGAATGCTATTCGTTCTATAGGCTTCCCAGTGTTCTCATCTTTATTTTTAATTTAAAAACATACAGCAGCAAGACGAGGGAACAGTGGGTGCTTATGAAAGCATGCAGGTGGGCAGCCACATCTCATACATTTCTTTTTCTCAAATGCACTGGCTTAGTTGCAACAAAAAGCTAAACCAGAGTTCATTATTGGCTATGCAGAAATTCAGACATTCAAGTGTTAACAGATAAACCAGGCAAATACAGTTTAAAAACTATGATTTAAACATCCCGGTCTAACATTTGTGAATGTACCTAGTATTGCTAAAGTGGATTATTTAAAAGGGAAAGGGTGTGAATTGCCTATATACGCTATCTGCTCTCAATTTGTATTTATTTCTACAGTTTAACAATGATTTTAGTGATATTTCAGAATGTGTTTCTTCAGCAAAGGTACTGTGATGTGTCTGAAGCCCTCCTCTGTAAGGATGATGTTCCATTCCACAGATAGTGAGAGCTGCTGCCTGCTTGTCTTCCTGTATACTGAGTGAAATATTAAACTACCTGTGCTAATATCCATCAATGCATCTTGTAGGAAATAATACTCCCAATAGCTTGGGAATTCTCAATATTGCTAATAGTACAGAATCTCTTAAACACACATTTCAAAAGAAAGGGATTTAAAAATAAAATCATTTGAATTCTATATACATAGTAAAGAACAAAGGGGGGCTCTCAGAAATAGTATTCTCTAGTTTTACAAGTAATAATAATAATAATAAAGTTGGAAGGGACCTTGGAGGTCATCTAGTCCAACCCCCTGCTCAGGCAGGAAACCCTATACCATTTCAGACAAATGGCTGTCCAGTCTCTTCTTAAAAACTTCCAGTGTTGGAGCATTCACCACTTCT